TCACTGGAGCCCGATCCCCCTGACCCTTCCTCCATCTTCGCGGCTCCCATCTCTACATCCACCCCGCAGCCTGCAGATACCCCCTCGACATCCCAGGTTCCTACGCCGTCCACTGTCGAGTCCACCCATACGTCTCGTGCTGACGCAGACATTAAGGAACTCATGCGGTTCACGGCTGACTTAGAGTCCGTCATTCGCGACCTGATTCGGGAGTACCGCGACGTCCTCCCCCCGTATTTCTCATACGGCGAGATTCCCCCGATGCGCGGTGTCGAGCATTCCATCCAGCTCGTGCCTGACTATCGTGTTCACCATCAGGCACCATACCGACTCTCGATTCCAGAGGCGACGGAAGTCAAGCGTCAGCTTGAGGAGCTCCTTCGACTTGGTTTCATTAAACCTAGTAACTTCCCTTGGGGTGCACCTGTCCTCTTTGCTCGCAAAGCGGACGGAACTCTCCGCCTCTGCATCGATTATCGCAGCTTTAACCGTTACACGGTTAAGAACAGCTATCCCATGCCCCGCGCAGATGAGCTGTTTGACCGTCTAGCAGGCAAACGCTTCTTCACGAAGATCGATCTTCGTAGCGGTTACCAACAATTCCGCGTTGCCGCAGAGGACCAGCCGAAGACCGCCTTTCAGTCGCGCTTCGGCCACTACGAGTTCACGGTGATGCCTTTCGGCCTCACCAATGCACCCGCCACCTTCCAGATGGCGATGAACGACATCTTCAGGGACATCCTTGAAGAATACGTTCTCGTATACCTGGACGATATCCTGGTCTACAGTCGTACCTTAGAAGACCATATCAGACACCTCCGCGATGTCCTACAGCGCTTACGCAAGCATGACTTCTATGCCAAACTCAATAAGTGCCGCTTTGCCCAGCGCAAAGTGGACTTCCTAGGACATCTTGTGTCTGACCAGGGTCTCCACATGGACGACTCGAAGATCACTGCTATTGCAGAGTGGCCCGTCCCCACATCTGCCAAGCAGCTTCGCAACTTTCTAGGCCTCACCAGCTACTATAGTAATTTTATCCAGGGATACGCTAGGTATTCCTACGTCCTTACCTCCACCCTCCTCCGGAAGAACCCGCTGTGGTTTTGGACACCCCTTTGCGAGGACGCCTTCCGCGCCCTCAAGAAGGCGGTGACTTGCGCGCCGGTTTTTCGCCTTCCCGATTTTGATCGTCCCTTTATTGTCACCACCGATGCGTCAGATTTTGCAGTAGGAGCTGTCCTTTCTCAGGTGTTTCCCTCTCCTCCAGATTCACCTTACCCCCATGTTCCTCCTTTTTCCCCCCCTCCTGCTGACACTGCTTCTCGACTGACGCCTATCCTACCACCACTTCCCTCCACTGTCAGTCCTCTCATTACTTACTCCCCGACCATCGCGGAGGATGGGACTGTCGAGGCTCGTGCTGGGGATTGCCCGATCGCTTTCTACTCCCGTCAGCTACTACCTGACGAGATAAACTACACTGCCGATGAACGTGAGGTTTTTGCAGTAGTTTATGCTACCCGGCATTGGCGTCATTATCTGCACGGGGCGCCCTTCACGGTGCGCACGGACAACTTAGTTGTCCAAGCTTTCCTCACGAAGCCTAAGCTCTCCCCTCGACAGGCACGCTGGTGGCGTGACTTATCCGAGTTCAGTTTCACCACTCAGCCCATCAAGGGTGAAACGAACCGCGTCGCCGATGCCTTGTCCCGCCGTCCTGATC